GGTAATTCTCGAGTACCCGCGGAAGCCATCTTGTTGTTGTTGTCGCTGCTGCTGCTGCTGCTGCTGTTGTTTCTAAATCAAAGTTCAAATTGACAATTGACAGGGATAGAATCGTTCTCAAAGTTGGGGGATACCATATACTTCCTGGAGGAGGGTGAAGTGCCGGGGCTCTACATCGCTCAACACATACCGAGCACCTTCGACTGGAAGGCGGCGGGCCTCACCGTCGTGCAGCAGGCCAAGCCACTGTTGTCAACGGATTCTTACTTTGAAGTTACAATCTCCATTTCTGCCAAGGTAGCTTCTGAATGACACTCCCAGCCATGGTGCCTAGCTAGGCCTGCAGCCTCTTTGACCCAAGCAAGAATTAGTATTGACTTTTTTCATCTGTTTCGCTTTCTGATGCGCACAGGGAGATGCCCAGCCTGCAAAGGTGAGCGTGAGGATCCCTTCATGGACATCCACAGTTGGCGCAACGGCAACTCTGAATGGCAAAAAACTCAACCTGACATCTGCAGGTAACTCAACTGATGAACTGTACTGATATTTCATACGAGACTCTGAGAGATCCCCATGCTTCAAGCTTGTCTCGTTCTCTCGCAGGTGATTTCCTCACGTTGACAAAACTCTGGGGCGATGATACCTTAGTGCTCCAATTTCCCATTAACTTGAGAACCGAGGCAATCAAAGGTATGAAATCTCAGACAGTGTCTGAAACTCTGAATCTTTCTGGGAAGAACGTTAGGCGTCTTCTGAACTTAAAAGGAGTCTGAAACTGTAGTTTTCTTTTTCAGATGACCGGCCGGAGTATGCGTCCATCCAGGCGGTGCTGTTCGGGCCGCACCTCCTCGCCGGCCTGACACACGGCAACAAGACCATTAACGCGACCGAGCACTCCAACGACGGCCTCACCCCGGGCATGTGGGAGGTGGACGCCAGGAACGGCACCTCCATGGCCGACTGGATCGCCGCGGTCCCTCATGAGGCGATCAACTCGCAGCTCGTCACCCTGACGCAGCGGTCCGGCGCGCAGACCTTCGTCCTGTCGGTGTCGGCCACCGACGACACGCTGACGATGGACGAGATGCCCGTCGCCGGCAGCGACGCGTGCGTGCGCGCCACGATCGTGGTCGACACGTACGAGGTCGACAGCACCGCCGCCGAGCACGGCGCGGCCGCTCCTGTTCTGCATGGGCCGAACGTGACGATCGCGCCGTTCGACAGGCCGGGCATGGCGATCACCAACGGCTTCGAGGTCAGGCTGCATCCAGGGCCGGAGGCCCTGTTCAACGCCGTGCCCGGGCTCGACGGGCTCCCCGGCTCGGTGTCCCTGGAGCTCGGCACCAGGCCAGGGTGCTTCGTGACGGCCCCCGGCGGCGCAAAGGGCTACGGCCCCGGCGACAAGGCCCAGGTCGGCTGCCGGACGAGCGGCGGCGGCGACGACGCGGCGTTCCGGAAGGCGGCGAGCTTCACGCAGGCGCCACCGCTACGCCTGTACCACCCGCTGACTTTCGTGGCCAAGGGCACGGAGAGGACCTTCGTGCTGGAGCCGCTGCGGAGTCTCCAGGACGAGTTCTACACCGTCTACTTCAACCTGGTCACCGCCGCCGCCGCCAGCTGAAACGCGCTGCTGAACTGCCGATCCTCCATGTGAGACTGAGCGGGCCGACAGACCAGAGCTTCACTTCATAGAGCGGCGGCAGTCTGGCTCTGGCAGTGGCAGTGGCAGAGACATGTGCCACGGCTACACAATTACTACCTGTACTGTTGGAGCAGCATCTCCCATCACCAAAACAATAGTAATGCCGTTGCATGTTCCTTGACGAGTGAAAAAAGTGTCGTTGCATCTTGGTGCAAGAGCGGCCCGTGTGTGATGTGGTTGAGATTTCTCGAGGCTGGCCAAGATCTTGATCCATGCACCTTACATTCATGCCGGGCCACCATAAGTGTCGTCCTGTTAGGTGCACATATATGGTAGCATTATTGTTCATGTGGACGTGTGGTACAATCCTCGATACGTAGGCATGTGGCATAGCGCACCGTGATGCGCACAGTGTGTAGGTGTTGTCACGAGACGAGAGCTTTTGGCCGCCACGGTTCACCTCACCCAAGCAAGAATCTTCAACCCCCAACCGCAGATAAATACGAGTGAAGAGAGGAAGTAAAAACGGCGGCCATCATATTCAAATCGTTTTCTACCGCGGGCGAAGCTAGCTTGCCTTGTACTGGCCCGCTGCTACTTACATCACGGGAATGCAACGTGACAAAGGGGACGCAATGCGACAAGGCGCCGTGTGTGCGTCACGTGATGGATCGCCGAGTAAAACCGATAGGCCAGCAGTAGAGGCCTCGTTTACTCTTGCTCCCGTGTTTGACTGTGCGTCGTCCGTCCGTTCGCTTGTTCGTAATAGCACATTGAATTTCCTGAGACTGAAACGCTGTCTTTTTCCTGTGGACCGTGGTCACGCTCGCACGGGCGCGGCGATAAAAGCCTCCGGGACTCTTGAGGTTTCTGCCCACAGCCACACCGATCCGTTTGCGCGTGTGTTTGGGGAGTGGTTGTGTAGCGTAGACTGGTGGTCGCTGAGCCAGGGGGGCGCCTTATCTTGGCAATGGCCCCGGCGCCGCCGTTGGTGACGGCGACGGCGACGGCGTTGGCATTGGTGCTGCTGTTGTCGTGCGTGGCGGTGGCCAAGGAGTGCACGAACGTGCCGACGCAGCTGTCGTCGCACACGGTGCGGGCGCGGCTGCAGAGCACGCCGGGGGCGGAGGAGTGGCGGTGGCGGGAGCTGTTCCACGACCACCTCAACCCCACCGACGAGTCCGCGTGGATGGACCTCCTCCCCCTCGCCGGCAGCACAACGGCGGCGGCGGCGGCGGAGGAGTTCGACTGGGCGATGCTGTACCGGACGCTCAAGGGCGGCGTCGGCTCCTCGGCGGCGCAGGCCGGGGCGTCGCCCTCGTCGTCGTCGTCGTTCCTGGTGGAGGCGTCGCTGCACGACGTGCGGCTGGACCCCGGCGACGAGGTGTACGGGCGCGCGCAGCAGACCAACCTCGAGTACCTGCTGCTCCTGGACGTGGACCGGCTGGTCTGGAGCTTCCGGAGGCAGGCCGGGCTGCCGGCGGCCGGCGCGCCCTACGGCGGCTGGGAGGGCGCCGTCGTCGAGCTCCGGGGCCACTTCGTCGGTACGTACTCCATCACATAACCGTGGCATGTTATCCAACCAATTTTCTGTGTGGTTCGCGCTGGCCATTCGTGGAGGTTGATCGTGGGAACTTAACCCGGCCGTTAATTCTCTGTGAAATTCCCATGAGATTCCTGCGCTCCTCAAGATGTTCCCTAACTACCGTGCATGATTGTTTGGATTGGATGGAGGACGAGGCGGTTCACGGTTCCGGCCTATATATCAGGCCCGTAAAGCCCAATTCTGCCCGATTGCGATAGATGGGCCGTGGGGTTCAGGGTTGGGTAGAGTTTTGGCCCATGAAGATAAGATCGGCTGGCTTGTCTCAGTCTAACCCCAATCCACTGATAGCAACATTTCGGCCATGATTGTTTGGTTATCAAATTATTTGTTTTCCCTACAAAACTATTTATTTGTACGTTCTAAAAAAACTAATTTATTTGTCATGGTCATTGCTACTCCCTCCGTAAACTAATATAAAAGCGTTTAGATCACTATTTTAGTAATCTAAACACTCTTATATTAGTTTACAGAGGGAGTATTTGTTTGGATGGTTCTGGAATATTTGTTATGCCTGTGCCAACTTGCCTACAGCAGTTAATTTTCAACATTAGTTAAACCATGGGCACACACAATTTTAGCTATACTAATAATTTGGCAGGGTCTGTAAAAAAAATTGCAGGGTGCACCTGGGCTCAAACAAGAAATGCCATACGTGTCTTTGACACAAGATTTTAAGTTTTTTTTTTTTTGAGAACACACAAGATTTTAAGTGAACAATACAAATTTGGCCCAGGATTTTTAAGAAGTTACTACAAAAAATATCCACCCGAGTAATAATAATCGAACAAAAATGGAGCGGCGCCTGATTTTTGTGCGCAATGCAGGGCATTACCTGAGCGCGGCGGCCAAGATGTGGGCGAGCACGCACAACGGCACGCTCGCCGGCAAGATGTCCGCCGTGGTGGACGCCCTCCACGCGTGCCAGCAGGCGCCGGCCAACGGCGGCACCGGCTACCTCTCCGCCTTCCCCGCCGAGTTCTTCGACCGCTTCGAGGCCATCCAGCCCGTCTGGGCTCCCTACTACACCATCCACAAGGTACATACATACAAATACAAGCAGCCATCGCGTACTCTGCTTCGTCACCGAGGAGTGAGGGCTGAATTCTCGCTGTGTTTCTTCCTGGCAACCGGGGAGGTCAGATCATGCAGGGCCTCCTGGACCAGTACACGGTGGCTGGCAACGGCAAGGCCCTGGCCATGGTGGTGGCCATGGCCGGCTACTTCGGCGAGCGCGTGAGGAGCGTGATACAGCGGCACAGCATCGAGCGGCACTGGACGTCGCTCAACGAGGAGACCGGCGGCATGAACGACGTGCTCTACCAGCTCTACGCCATCACGGTAAGTAATCTTGCCCCGTCACCGTCTCTTTCGCCACGTCTGTTCATGGCTTCATGCCGCCTCTGCCCCTGACGCTGATACGTTTTGCTCCGTCTGCCAGCATGATCAGCGGCACCTGGTGCTCGCCCACCTTTTCGACAAGCCGTGCTTCCTGGGATTGCTCGCAGTTCAGGTCTGACGAGCTTCCTTTTGCCCTGTGCGGCTTTCTGATACCTGCTCTGCGTTTTGGTCATGGTTTACTAAGCACACTAGAAGCATGAGCTACATGTTCTGAATGGTGTGTGTTCTTCGCGTTTCCTATTCAGGCTGACAGTCTCTCGGACTTCCACGCCAACACGCATATTCCGATCGTCGTCGGCGGGCAAATGAGATACGAGGTTACCGGTGATCCTCTCTACAAGGTAAAAAAAAAGGGTTCCTCCAAGTCTACATTTCTGAAGTTTTAAGTATAATTTGTTTCGGCATGAGTTGATCCGGATGAGAGTGAGACTGACAGTAACATTTCACTAAACAGGAAATCGCAACATTCTTCATGGACGTGGTAAACTCTTCTCACACCTACGCAACCGGCGGCACGTCCGTCAGTGAATTCTGGTATGCAACTGATTATAGAATGATGGCAGACGTTTACAATTTGTCTTCTGTCAGGAGTTTCATTTCTGAAATGGTTTTGCCAGGTTCGATCCGAAGCGTTTAGCCGAGACCCTGACCACCGAGAACGAGGAGTCCTGCACTACATACAACATGCTCAAGGTGATCTACATCATCATCTTCTGAACACCAAAATAACTCATCATCCCAAGACCCTCTGCTAAAGAAATTATGCAGGTATCTCGCCACCTCTTCAGATGGACCAAAGAGATCGCGTACGCGGACTACTACGAGCGCGCGCTGATAAACGGCGTCCTGAGCATCCAGAGAGGGAGGGACCCCGGTGTCATGATCTACATGCTGCCCCAGGGCCCCGGAAGATCGAAGGCGGTGAGCTACCATGGCTGGGGGACGCAGTATGATTCCTTCTGGTGCTGCTATGGGACTGGTAAGTGGTAGGCAGATCTCAGAGTTTCAGAACTGGCAATGGAGATGACTGAATTGTTGTTTGATCTGTTGTCTGCAGGGATAGAGTCATTTTCCAAGCTTGGCGACTCCATCTACTTTGAGGAGAAAGGCGGCAAACCGGCGCTATATATCGTTCAGTACATACCGAGCACGTTCAATTGGAGATCTGTAGGCCTTACTGTCACTCAGCAAGTGAAGCCCCTCAGCTCATCTGATCAGAATCTTCAGGTTTCGCTCTCCATATCGGCGAAGGTAAAGCTAAAGACTTTTTCGATGATGATTCGTTCGAAAGGATAGGGGTTTAGTCAATTCGCTTTATGCCGTGCAGACGAACGGTCAGTACGCGACGGTGAATGTGAGAATTCCGTCGTGGGCATCTGCGAATGGTGCGCAAGCAACTTTGAATGACAAAGATTTGCAAATGGCATCTCCAGGTATGTTCACATGCCACTAAGATTTGGCAAATGTTTGATGAAACAGAGGCTTGATTGTTCAAAGTTCTAACCCAATCTATGTTTTGTCAGGAACCTTCCTCTCAGTCACCAAGCAGTGGGGGAGTGGTGGTCACCTCACACTCCAGCTGCCTATTAGCCTGAGGACAGAAGCTATAAAAGGTCTGGAAATTTTCTCCTTCTTTTCTTTACTGTGCATCAATGTATTTCAGCTTGAACGGAGGAACTTGCAACATCATGCGTCCACAGTTCTCAAACTTACTCTTACATCTGCAGATGATCGGCCGGAGTATGCGACTCTCCAAGCAGTCCTCTTCGGGCCATTCCTCCTCGCCGGCCTCACGACCGGAGACTGGGACGCGAAGGCCGGCGGCGCCGCCATCTCGGAATGGATCACCCCTGTCCCGGCATCGTACAACTCCCAGCTGGTGACGCTCACGCAGGAATCCGGCGGCAGCACCTTGGTCCTCTCCCTCCTGTCGACCGCGAAAGGCACCTCCGTGACGATGCAGCCGCGGCCCGAGGGCGGCGGGACCGACGCCGCCGTGCACGCCACGTTCCGTCTGGTCACCCAGGGGCAGGGCGCCCCGCCGACGGGCGAGCGGCGCCCCGCCACCAACGGCACTGCCGCCACGGCGACGCCCGCCTCCGCGCTGATCGAGCCGTTCGACATGCCGGGAATGGCGGTCACCAACAACCTGACGCTGTCGGCGGAGAAGGGCCCGAGCTCTCTGTTCAACGTCGTTCCCGGGCTCGACGGGGCGCCCGGGTCGGTCTCCCTCGAGCTCGCGGCCAGGCCGGGGTGCTTCCTGATCACCGCCGGCGCAAAGGCGAATGTTCAGGTCGGCTGCGGCGGCGGCACGGGGTTTTCCCCGCAGGCGGCGAGCTTCGCGCGGGCCGAGCCGCTGCGGCGGTACCATCCGATCAGCTTCGCCGCCAAGGGGGCGCGGAGGGGCTTCCTCCTGGAGCCATTGTTCACGCTGAGGGACGAGTTCTACACCGTCTACTTCAACGTCGGCGCCTGACAAATGAACATAGTCTAGTCTGGTGTACCGAATAAGTCGTCAGTAGGAAACTGAAAAATTCAGTTGTTCTTCATTTGTATGAACGGAAAAGGATCTTCTGGTTCTGCGAATGAAGTTTTGGCAGACGGAAAAAAAATAGTCTGATCCCAGGGAAGCTTCACCAGAGTTCCAGAAACAATGTAAATTTAAGAGACCCGAGTGGCACGGACTGGTGACAGCGATGAGCCCGTCGAAACGTTCAATGGCAGATCCAAGAGCGAGAGCAAGAGAGAGAGAGAGACCGTGCCGCCAACGGAGAACGAAAAACTATGCGCATAGGGCAGTAGAATCTAGGCAAGAAATTCTTGGTAGAATGCAGAGCGTGATCGTAGAAGCCAAACGGGCAAAGACGACGCAGCGGACGACTGCGCCTAGAAACCCATCCCAGCGGCCAAACGCAGGCCGCCACCACTGCATTTGGTCCTGGTTGCGTGTTCCAACCTAGCCAGCCAAAAAAGCTCCTACACAAGACGAGCATGACATGAAAGAATTCTCCAGATAATAACAGACACAGTCTCACAGCCAACCTCACAGCAGAATTCCACCAACATCTCACCTGACACTGAACTTCTATCTTCTGGTGGAGATAGCACAGCTGCACAGGTCAGGTGTGATGTAAATTTTCTCAGGGGCTTACTGCTCTGAAGATCAGGAAGACAGGAACTGTTGACAAGGGGGGATCACCATGGGTACCATAATAACAGACGACGACGCTTACTCGATACCATTACCGGTTGCGACTGCAAGACAGACAGACAGACACCGGGAGGAAACAGCAGTACATTACAGAGTGCTAGCCAAAATGCGAAAGCCACAATACCGTTCCCGTTCCGCCGCGCAGAGAGACGACCATAAATAAAGCTTACACAACATAGCCAACAAGGAGACCGTTCGGACCTGGGGCTGCCGCCGAGGCGCGTGTGCCATGCATCACGATTGCCCAACAACTAAGATTGCAGAAGCCAACATGATGAAAGGATAATGCAGCAAAGACGCACGATGACGAGGTAGCGCAGATTTGATTTGGGACCTTATGTTCTGCCGACCGTAGGGGGGGCCCTTCCTAGATCTTGTCAAGCTTCTCCGCCTTCACCACCGGGTTGGCCTTGGCGATGGCGTCCATGGCCGCGGCGCGGTAGTCAAACTTGCACTCGTGCTTGTCCGAGTAACGGTGCGTTGCGCAGTACAGGTTCCCACACCGGCAGTTGAATCCGGTCAGCCCGACCCTCTTTCTGCAGGTGCTGCACCGGCTTGGGCCTTTGGGGTTCTCCATCGCCCCCTCGCTTGGACCAGCGATATCAGCAGGCTGTGCGGTAATAAGCGTCTTCGCCTCAACGTGAGCAACTGCCACCGCCGTGCTGCCAGCAGCAAGATGTTCTTTCGCGGCATCGCCACCGTTGACGATGCTGTCGAAAGAGGAGGCGGCCAGCTTTGCCTGCTCCTGCTTCATCGCCATCTCCTTGTGGCACTTGGAGCACATGTTCATGGTCGCCGCGCTGCCGAAGAAGCCACAATTATTGACGCAAAGGATGGGGCCCTCCCGAGACTGGCAGCCGGTCTCCTTGTGCTCCATGGCTTTGATTTAACTGGAAATCAGACGCAACACGGTCAAGACAAACACTTCACATGGGCTATTATAGACAGCACAGGCACAAATTGTATTTCAGAAGATCACTGCAAAGTTGGCAATTTACAGATGAACAAAGTATAATCTTCACAGACACGTTTTGGCCTACTGAATCCAAATCTACTAAAGTACGTTAGTTGCTCTACAAAGCATCTTATCTTACAAAAGGATAGTGGTGGCTGCTTGGTCAAAACACCGAACTGAAGGTATTACCACTAAACGATGCAGCCTGCCTGCCTTATAATTAGCCAACAGCGGCCTAATCACCTACCGGCATCAGAGCAGAGCATAGCAGGGGAAATTAATTCTAAAGAAAGGCCCCGACTTTACGACGCTTTACGCAACAGCGGCAACAAATCCGTAAAGTAGCAAACCGTATCCGCGCACTAACTTTTGCGAAAGCGGCCGCATCAACAACCGGGCGCTGGAGCAAACACACCGGACGGATACGTGTAAAGGCAGGCCGGCCGCCTTTACTAGTACATCGGAGCGCCGAATTCGGCAACGGCTCGCCGCCGTTCTGCGGAATTGAACGTCGGGGGAATAAATCGGTGCCGGCCGGCGGCTTCTACGGCGGACGGAGGAATCAACGGCCGCAGATAAAATCAGGACTTTTGACCAGGAGAAATACAGGCACGCAGGCTACCACAGAACGTCATAAGAAAGACAGATGATTATCACCGGGAACAGAGGGTCGCCGAGCCACGAACCTGATAGGAGGAAGCCCTCGTCGCGATTCCTCTCCGGCGATCCCTGCAGAGAGACCCAACAAAAATCATCAGCGACGAAAAGTTATGGGGGGAAAACGAGCCCGGATCGGC